TTTGCAGTATAAAACACTGCTGGTGCTGGCCTGGGCTGCCACAGGGATCAGTTGCAGTTGTTTATAAGAGCAGGAAAACAAAGTGAACCTTATAGGCTGAACCATAACTTGTTACTGTAAGGCTGATTTAAGTCATGAGTGTTTCTAGGAACCAAAGTGTACTCTATAAACATAAACATTCTTCCCAGACATTCATCTGAGGAACATTTATATGCTAAGCAGGTTTTCAAAGAATTTGGGTCACAGGCTCATTTCTAAGTGTAAAAAAAAAAGTAAAGTACCATGCCTGTTTAAAATGATATTATTTCCTCTGGCTTTATGTATTAAAAAGTCCTGCAGTCAGGACTTTAATTTATAGTCATAGTAAGATAGAGCTTGTCACATACTGTCTTAAATTAGAAAAAATATCTGACTATCCCATCTCCATCCTGAAAACCTGAACTAAAAAGACAGTTTCAAGTCCAAATAATACATATCCTTATTTCTGGGTTTTATTAGCTGTTGGAAAACATGACTGAAGTTGTTAGAAAAGGGATACAGGAAGCACAACTTCAGCTTCAGAAAGCAAATGAAGAACGACTTCTGGAAGAGGTGAGGCCACAAACACCAGCCCTGTGGTACCCTGAGGTAACTTGTGCCCCTGGGGAGCTCCTCACCAGTGTTGGGTTGTGCTTTGCAGGGGCTGCTGCGACAGATCCCAGTGGTGGGCTCTGTGCTGAACTGGTTTTCTCCCTTCCAAGCCTCACCCAAGGGAAGGACGTTCAATTTGACGGCAGGTAGGGTTCGGGGCACCTGCAGCTGTGTCATGCTGGCACTGGGACTCTTGTGTACTGAACCTGCAGCACACATTCCTGTGCTGGTTTGATCATGAGTGCCACAATCCACCCTTGGGATGCACAAAACATGCTCTGCACTATTTCTGTAACGCACAGTAAGAATCTTCTCTCTCATACAGTTTACATTTTGTTCTTGAATTAAAAAAAGCCATGGTAGACACTGGCATTTATTAATAGAGGAGGAATCATTCCTGTGACCTCTGGTTGCATATCCTGGAGGAGTCTGGAGGGGTAAATACTGAGCCAGGGGTAACTTGGCCTTAGCACATTGTTCATTATGTGAATGCACATGCATCCTCTCCCGTGATTCCAGGGCACTCGTGTTCCACTGTGCCCCTGAACAGGATGTCTGTCTGGAATCCTGGTTTGGGAGGGCACCTGGATGTTGCCATCCTGATAAGTGCTGGTCTATGTGCTAAACTGCATATCCAGTAACTGGAGGACAGGTTAAAGTAAGCTGGGACCTGGCATCAATTGGGCTGTGTGGGAAACAGTAGTAAACAGAATGGTGCCAAGTGAAGCACTGTATTTTACTCTCAGATTTGCAATTTGTCTGGAGATGTAGAAAGCACTGACTATAAGCTTTTACATCAATGAGACCGATGTACCAACACAATAATTCCTGAAATTATAAATTTTAACTGTAAAAGTACTGTGGAATTCATAGGAATTAATATTCCTGGGCTCAGCAGAGTATCTGTCACATCCAGGGCACACTGTGTGTCTGTACCCTGCAGGGAAAGCTTCCTGCTGTGCTCAGGGCCTTTGAGGCTCTGGATGCATGAAGTGGCAGGTTCTTAGAGCAGAGCACAGCCCATTCCCCTGGGAATGCTGAGCTGCATGGCTGGATCCCCCTTCCACGTGCACTACTGCACAGCTTCCAGCTGGGAAGATGTCACATGCCCAGGGCAGGAAGGAAATGGGAGTACAGAGTGTAGCAGTGTTGTGGAATGAGGGTGAGGGGAAACAATTCACTTTTGAAGTCTCAGCACTTATGTCCTTGGGTTCTCAGAAATGCATTGCTCCCATGTGACAGTTTAAACTCAAATACTGCCATTTCAGAAGTAAGTTTTAGTCAACTTATTTTTTTTAACCTGCAGGCTCTCTAGAATCCACAGAATCTATGTATGTATCAAAGGCCCAAGGAACAGGCAGCACTCCACCACCAACTCCCACTTCCAGCCTTGCAAAGCAAAGACTTCCTGGTAAGTTTCTGTGCAAGTTTAATTTCTAAAACTTCCCCTGACACAGGAAGGCCCACATTACATCTTTTGTAACATCTGGAACTAGAGTTCATCTTCTACCACCTTAAAAACCTTAATGTACACATGGCACAGAACACTGTCCCAAGCTGTTTTCTCTTCACATATTCTTCCTGGGACTACGGGAAGTTGTCCTATTAACTGACAATTGCCCATGAACTCTAGAATCTCCCTGGGGAATATTATGAGGTTACTGACCTTTAAAAATGAACAGACAACCAAGCCAAAAGTTTTATTTGAAATAAAAGCATAATAACATGCAGTCATGTACTTCAGCAGCTGCATTTCTGTTGCTACCAAGTATTTTGTGGCCTAAGCCATTCTGAGGTGAAGATAGGTTAAATCTGTGGCACTCTCTGCATAGTTGTATTAGTAAGTAACACTGATTTGCCTGGCAGGAAACCCAATATTAACTCGCCTTCTGGGCTGGTGGCTTACAGCCTATGACTGTCAGTGCAGTTGTTTTACCTGGAATGATTTCAGTTTTAAGCAGGCATCTTGGCTTCAGCTCAGTTTCTCTGTCTCTGCATACACAGGATACAGTAACAGGTGCTATTAATTTGCAGACCTGTCTGGATCTCTATGTTCAGGGTCCAAAGTAGCACGCAAACAAAACCTACTTTCTCCTGTTACAAAATCCCAGTACTTCCTTTGGAAACTGAACTTGTGCACACCACTGTCTGTATTTGCTGCCTTCATGAATGCTTCAAATACTTCACAGGTCAGAAAGCTTTCAAAAGGTCTCTGAGAAACTCTGATGGGTTCAGTGAGACCAGTTCCATCAGCCACTGTGATGACCTGGACAAGCTTGATCAGAGACCCCCAAATCTCTCCCCTGGCCAAGAGCAAGGACCTTTGGAAATGGAAAGAGCAGAGGAGCAGAGGGAGGTGGTGTCAGCAAAGACAGACACTGAGGACATTCACAGTGACAAATTGCCACCAGACTGCACCAAGGCAGAGGACCAAGCTAGTCAAAGATAAAATCCAGAGTGTGGATTTCAGACTGTGCCGAGGAGGCCCCTGCCCAGGGAGGCAGGGTGGTAATGATGCATTGAAAATGTGAACAGTGCCACACACAGTACAGTAATAACTACTGTAACTTAGTAACTGGGATTTTGCACAAATATACATTCCCTCCCCTGGGACAGAGATTTGTCTTATTGTACACTTGTTACAGTTGCTTTAATCCTCTCCATGTTGGTGGTCACCAAAGCTGTAGTGAAATTTATTAAGTGCTCATGAACATTTGTAAAAACACTTGGCAGTTATCCTTCCTGCAGGAATCCACGCATGACAAGTTGTTAACTAACCACTCAACCATGCACATGATGAAAAATACAGTTGCACCCAGCAATTATAAATTATCTTATGTTACTATACTTTATAAAAAGCAACTGCCAGTTGTTCACCTTTTTAGTATTCAAAATTCAGTTTAGGCTCTCCTGCACAACATCTCCTGAAGACACCTTAGTTCTGTGTTGCTTCTTTTCTGTTACCTTACCCACACACCCTGCCCAAGAGCCGTGGGTGCTGGGCACTGGGGAGGGACAGGTGCCCTGGTGGGTGGGAGTCACTGAGGAGCACTGGGCCATCACCCCTTTGTTCCTGCTCTTGTACCACTTCACCCCCCAGCCACAACCCTGGGTACACTGGGACTGAGTTAGTGAATTTTCAGCCTTCTAGAAAGCAATAGTGCCTCTGCATGCCTGGCCAGCCTCCTACTCCTGCCCTGGGAAGGAGCACAAGGCACCATTACTTTCCTTTGCACGGCATTTACACACCAAATACTGAACATGTTCATGCAGTGTAACTGGAGTTCTTTCTGTTGTGTATTTTTAAAGATAGCTGTAGTAAAGCTTGAAAAACCAATACATTTGTGATGGTTTCGACACTTATTTTTTGAATAACAGTAACTTACCTATGGTAGGAATTGTACAGAGTCAAAAGAAATTATTTAGGTTACTTACATACAGCACAACTTCAGAGTGTCTGGGACTACTTAATGCACAAGCAAAGCTTTGAATAAATCAAAATCCAATGTGTAAAAGTGTTTTCCCCCAAATCATCTTAATCGCTTCACTGCAAACTTTCAGAGCTTCTTGTGGAAAAGCCATCTTTGGCAACACTTGCTTTCCCCAAGTAACCTGATGGTGATACAAACCCTCCTCTCCCTCTAGAACTGGATACAAGTACTGCAGTTTGCTCCATTTGGGTTTCTTCTTCCCTCCCTTTCCTGCCACACAGGTATCCCTTAATACCATAATGACAGTAGTGGTAGTGGGACTTACTTTGATAATCTGCAAAATTTGAGGGTTTTGAATTCTACTGGCACCTGATTTGACTCTCAGCTTCTGAAGCCTGCAGTGCTGGGATGCCATGAACAAGGTTAATTTTGCTTGGGTAATTTATGTAAATCAGTGCAATTTTTTCTAAAGTGCAAAAGCAATTAAGTTGACTAGTCTTCCTCCTTGGTTCCTTTAGTGCAATGAAGTATGTTAATAACAGTAATTTGCTGGGATAAAAATTATCCCCACAAAGATTAATTTTTAATGTTTTTATATTTGGAAATGTTAAATCAGTAGTTTTGTTGGAATGAGCTTCATTCTTTAAATACTTACCTGAATGTTTCAATAAAGATTCTTCAAATTATTATTCTGGAATTAAGTTATTGTTGAAGGATGCTTCCCTACATTTCAGCAAGTTCTTTCTTTCCCTGGTGTGCAAAATCATTTAATGACATGCACACCAGTGCAGTGACTCACCTTGTCAGTCTCCAGCATTGCCACCACTTTACCTCTGCCCATCATATTACTGCACTGGAGCAACAGAACCGAAATAAAGCTAAATTCTTACTTCAAATAAACCCTGATTTCTACATAAGTAATGCAGAAAAAGCAAGTTACTTCTATCAAAATATTTTATTTTGAAAAGCACAGGAACAATAGTATTTGTGACCAGCAATATGCTCTTTGCAACAAATTGCTCTTCTTGCAAGATTGCATTTCCCTAAAGTTGTTGTGGGGGTGGGTTCCAGGTTAGATTTTGTCAGAACAAGCCTGTTCCCACAACCCTTCTTCATTTTTTTTGTAGATGCGAGGTTTCCTGTCAGGGAACAGGGACCGAGATGGAAATGGATGCTCTTTTAGAAATGTTAATGTAGATCTAATGTGAGAAACAAAGTGGGGGGGCTCAGCCAGGGGCGACGTGGAAAGGTTCTGAAAAAGAAGATGGGAGCAAAAGCTGCTTTTGACACTCGGGATACAATGTTCTCAATGTCCTGCCCTTCTAGAAGATTATGCCCCACCCTCCCAGGGACAGCAGTACACTGGAAAAAGTTCTGACAGACTACAAGACCACTCTCTCTACTCAGCTAGAAGGCAACAAAAAAAACCCCAGTTAGTTTAACGTACCTGTAAAATCTGTGCATCATCTTGTTCCAACCAGAAATCCACATGTGGGAAAGGCCCCCAGAAATAAGGCCCAATCTGGAGTTGTTCTGTCTTTGCGTCATAGATGTTGGTCAGCTGTAACAACACAGGGAGGCTGCAGAGGCAGTCAGGGCTCCCCCAGACAAGGAGAGTTCCCTCAGCCTGGCCTGGCCCAGACACACTGGGCCAGCTCAGCCCTGCTTCCCTCCAACTGCACTGGCATCCCTCTGCTACTCTGACAAACACAGCATGAACTGGTAACAACCAACCCAGAACCCAAAGACAGAGAACTACCAAAGGATATTTTCCTCAAACTTTGATTGCCCCTGATTGGTCTCCCTGTTTTCCCTGTTCCTTTTACTCACTGGTGCTCCTGTTAAAACATGGGCTGAACGCAGATCCTCATCCGGCCCTTTTTCTGGGAAGGTTGCAGGGAAAATCTCTGCTGTTTTAACATTCACAGCTGGTAGGAAATAGAGATTAAATACAGTACAAATTAATTGTTTCAAGGCACTTCTTTACAATGACCATGTCCCCAACAAAACTGTGTTGCAGAACTGCAGAACCCATCACACACTTTTATTTCTCAGACCCCAAGCCTCTGACAGCACATTTCTACTTCATTTCCTTTGGCAGCATTTCAATATTCCAGACATTAACAAAATAATTAGAAAAAACACTGAGTAACCAAAGAGAAGAAGATGAAATTCTAAGCATAAATTTAGTGTAGTAGCTTGATGCTGATAAACTCTGAAGTGCAGTTAAAGGGAAAAACTCTGTTTGCATTTGTACATGGCCTCTTCCATGTGTGCACCTCCCCAGCTGTGGCACCACAAGAAAATCATTTTTACCTACACCTCTGACAGCCGTGTACAACTTTTAGGGTGTACTTGCCTCAGTCATTAAAAGCAGCCCATTTACTACTGGAATCTGAAAAGCAATCCAGTTACCAAAAGAAAATTCAATTCTAATTTAACTAACTCACCTATTCCATAAATGATTGGAAAGTGAATATCCTGTTCTTCTCTGTCATTTAGTTCTGTAATGAAGAAAAAGAAGTCAAAACTTGTAGGGCTTTGGATTTTAGTCTGAGCAGCATTTATTTAATTGTATGTTATTGGAAAGCAAGAGATCTGATGTTGCGTAAGACAGAAAAAAAAAGGAAGCCTGAAAGAAATATGGAAAAGGCAGCAGAGGTCAGTACCAACATGTGTGGGATGTGGAGCTCTCTCCTAAGAGAACAGCCAGCTCCAGCCAACTGCCCCTGCTTCTGCATGGACAATTTACAGGGAAAAAACCACAATACAGAACCACCATAATGCCAAGGTTCAAAGATGTGAGTCATCAACACCTCTGACATGGAAAGAGGATGGAAATGTGACCTCAACATCATACAAAGAAAAGGAAATTACTCCTCTTCATGATGTCACACAGTATGAACTGAAGTTTATGAATTTACTGGACCCTGCAGGGAGGCAGGCCCAGCACTTACAGAACAAAGGTCTGTAAGTGCCCTTCTCAATTGTAAGATATCCACAGAGCCTGTTCCTTGAGAAAAATGTGCCAAAATAACCTGGCCATGATTACAGTGCAGCAGCACTTGGTGAGGAGCAAATGCTCCCTGCACTGGCTCTCTGACATCACACACCAGCAGTAAAACTGAAAAGTACACGTTGGTATGGAGGACTTTGTGCTGTTCTTTCTTACAGGACAGAGAAAAAGCCATGTCTGAGAAGCCCCCTGCCCTTTTATTTCAGGAAAGGCATTTCCAAACCCAAGGGAACATTTTCTTACCTGTTACACAGAAAGTCACTAAATGAACGTCCTCCGGCTGGAGGTCAAACGCTCCTGTGATGACAAGGACAGCAAAACTGTCAGTAAGTGGTGGCAGGGCACTGCTGTCTGGGGGTGAGGGGCACACACATAAACTCCTGCCCCAGGTAGGGCAACACTGCAAACAGTGTTCTGTACATTTGCTTTAAACTCACAGGAATTTACAGAGAGGGGGCATTTGTAGCAGCAAAAATCTACTAAGAAAGTGCTCTGCCACTTACTCCTTCTACTGACACTAGCTTAGTTTTGGCATCACATCAGCTCTGCTCTAGTCTGCTATACAGTTAGCAGCTTGTATTTAAACGTTTTTTCCTAAAATATTACATATATAGTGAACAAACCCAATCTTTCATTAACTGTAAATTAGTTCTACCTTTCACCATCCCAAACAACAACAAAAAAAACCCTCTTTTTTTTTGAAGTTCTGATAGCAATACAGCATTATTGATTCAAATTGTATCTTGATGCATGAAAATCAGAAGGTTAAAGTAAGTTAACCAAAGTACTTTGTTCTGCACAGAACTCTCACATGACACATAACCCCCATCAGGTGTCACAGCCACAAGACTGCAGCCCAGGGCCTTGGGTTTTCCTTTTTTGTCTGCACCCTTAAAACACCTCCCTCCAATCCAGACACCTGCCCCATCCCTGCCCCTCCACATTCCAATGGGGCAGAGGCCTCTCCAGAAGTGAGAAAGTGCTTAGCACAAGCCAGAGCACTCCCTGGCAAGCAGGTACTTCACACTTCCAGTTGCAAGTAAAGCACTGCCACCACTCGTCTGGACTTATGGACTTTATAAACAGACGTGACAATTTTCATTAGACAATTCCAAACAGTAATTAAATTTTACTTCATCGCTTTAAGGTATGAACTGAATGGTAACTAATGAATCATCCACACGTACAGATTTGGAGAGTGACAACACTTGCCCAAGATCACACAGAAGATGAGCAGGAATCAAGCCAGGAATCAAAGCCCAGCTGAACTGCACCCAACTCTCCACAGCCAAGTATGAGCTGTGGATCCAAGGGAGAAGGGACAGGATCAGACCCTGTGGCCCAGGCACTGACCATGGGCAAGCCCCAGCAGTCCAGCCCCTCTCCACACCAAGTTCTCAGGAAGAGAAAAAGACCTTTCAAAGTGAATCCACTTTTCTTTCCAGTAAATGACTGGGGACTCAGACGACAAACAAACTCTACCCAAATCCAGCCAGAACTCATTTCTTTTTTTTTGGACATGAGAGTGGAAAAAACGTGAACTTACTAAGAAGCTGATTAGTAAGTTTTTGTGATAACTGCCTATCATCATTGAAACCTCCAACTAGGTGCACTTCCAGCCTAACAGAGATGGAATAACAGGAAACAGCAATTAAAAAGACATCTCAAAATGAATAAATTTACAAAATAATCCCCAGCCCAAATTGCAAAGCAATTATTAGAGAAGCCTCACTTATTGCAATCACATGCACCAAGCTGGTTTGCATTACACAGCAAGTTATGATAATTCCATTCTGAAAACTTCAGGGATCACCTGAAGTTGTGAAGAAACAAGCTTGAAGAAATATTAAATACATGCAATTCTATCCCGGGGTATCTCTGGCATCCCTGGTTTGGACTGAACTTTGTAATCATCCTTCAGTTAATTAAACTTGAAGATTTTTGTTCCCATGACCTCCTCACAACTATTATGGACCATGCAGCAGGGTTCTTCTCTAAGCAGTGTCTATGTAAAGTCCTTACAAATTATGAAACTAAGTTCATGAGCTAACTTTTGTTCGTACCAAACTGCAGGGGCAAAAGCCTCCATATCCAGAGTGAAGCTTGTCTGCTAAATTCTGTTTCAGAGCTTTTTACCTACTGTCCTGTCCTCCACACCATTTTTTTTTTTAAATGTGGACTTACAAAATTCCCTGATGGACTGTCAGATGCTGAAAAAGGGAAAAATATAATATAAACCAAAAACCAGTTATGTGGAAAATTTTGCAAATATGGAACAAAAGTTAAACGGGAAATAGTAAACACAAACCTCATGGTGGCATTTTACAGAGACACTCTTCAGAACAGAACCATGCTTTAAATGGCTGCTAAAAATACCCCCAAAAATCACCGTCAAGGAAGCAATTTTCACTTTGCATGCGGCTGCTGATCAAGAGGTGTTTCCTGCTCTGAACCCCACACAATCACCTCACAACTCCCCTCAGTACGAGCTGCAGTAACCTTTGAGAAGCAGAACAGAAAAAGGGATCAGAGCTGACCTGCCACAGCCTGTGGAGTTAGAGAAGGACTTCACCGAGCTCATGATGAGCGACACCTCGGCCTCGGTGTCGGAGCCATCGCAGTGCGTCAGGCACGTGGCTCCGCTGCCTGCGAAGGCACACAACAGGCACACAACAGGAGAGCTGCCCCACCACTGCCTCGCTCCCCCTCAGCACAGCAGCCTCCAGCAGGGGACAGGACTTGACAGAGGCAACACCCTCTGTGTGGGCCATTATAAAATCAACACAGTTCCCATCTCTTAACAGGACCAGGCAATGTTGCTAGTGTCAGAAATCCAGGCACACAGCAAGGATCTTCCCACAAATTCTACCTCTGCAGCATCCAAACGCTGTGCTGCCAGACTGCTGGACACAGCCCAGGGCTGCAATGCCGCTGGCCACAGGTGCAGAGCAACTTAAAAGCTGCTCATGGAGCAATGAGCACTGAACCTCTCACACTAAACACACCAACTCTCTGAGCGAGTCTTGAGTTAACACATTATGTGACCTTTGGGGATTCAGGTTTGTACTAATGTAACTGCAATTTATGTCATTAATGCCACATAAACCAGTAGTAATTCCTTATTTCAGGGGTACAGGCTTTGCTCTGAACATCTTCTAGAGATACCTGTGTGTCGGAGCACAACTATGTGGCAGGTAGTGGCATCATCTGATCCAAGAATGGAAACAGAACCTATTTTAAAGGAGGAAAACACTGTAAGAACTCAGCCCTTGCAATTACTGCTTCAGTATAGGAAGAAATGTTTATGTTCCTACACACCATCTTTAGGGGTAGTCACTGCAAACTCTCTCTGCTGGACATAGAGAAGGCCTTTGGGTTCCACAATCTGAGCAGGCTGACTTCTCAGAAGTTTTGCCTTTTCCTAAAGATAAATGATAACAGATACTACAATGGCTGAACTCTCAGGTGTATCCATTACTTCACAGAAACATCACCTCTGAAAAGCAAAGAGACTCAGGTCAAAGAGGAACACGTGTATTTTGTATTACAGAGTATTCTGAATTTCGAAAGTTTTTTGTTTTCCTCACACTGAACAAGTTAATAGTTAAATTCCATCATTCCAGAGAGACACAAAACACCTTTCCCTGTTATGTGGACCATAAAATGGAGGCACAATAAAAAGCATTTGGACTGGGCAAAGATTACATTAGATAATACCAGAACTGATCTTGAAAGTTTAATCACAACAGGAAACTTGAAATACAGAAGTTTCAGTCTTCTACTGCCATAACCCAGAATATTTATTTTGCACTTTGCAAAATAAGGGTATGTCGTTTATTAGCTTGATTGGTGTGTGCAAAACCCGGATTCCTGGGCTATGAGTACTGTAGAACTTCATCACAGACGTTCCGGGGACGAATTTCCATTGTCCCCGGCTCAAAAAACACTTCACAGCTTTATCAAATTTGCCCTGGTTTCTGCATAATCTCAGGGTCTGTAAAGAAACACCTGATGGGAAACAGCTCCCCAGGCAGCTCTGCTCGCATTCCTGGCTCGCACTCCGCCGTTAAGATTATAATATTTACACCTGGAAGCAAGGTCAGCACCTTCCTCAGAGTGCCCTCCTTGACATTCTATCGCCAGATTTTGTCATTTCACGCAGAAAGGGCCGGCCCGGCGGCGCAGGGGCACCCTCCCACCCCCGGCCGCACCTTCTCCGCTGTGCCCCTTCAGCAACACCGATTTATTTATTTTCCACTACCCCGGGCTCTCGGCTGTCAGAGAGCGGGGAACGCGCTGGGTCGAGGCCGCCCTTGCCCCGGGCCGCTTCGAGCGGGGCCCCGCTCCGCCACCCACCCCGCCCCGGCACAACC